CTGCCTCTGACAACCTTCCCTGATGTTAGAGAAAGGATGTGTTTGCTGAGGCAGTGGCTTCAAGCCACGAATGCGAGACCGTGTTCATCTGACCCAGTGAAGGCATCCCACCCAGCAGGACAGCTAGCACTGGGCTCCCGCTTGGTTAAATTGGTAGTGGCTGGATCCAGTCCAGACAGGGGCGAGCTTAGGACGTTGAATGGGGATTGGTTAGGGTCTCCGTGCCTGCATCCCTCAAGGCTTTGAAGGGGGAGCTAATCCCTGGTGTTCCCCTGAGATGTGATGCTGTTGTCGAATCACTGACTTAGCAGGAGATCCACCAGGCCAGGGGCGCCCACTTGGCCTTTCCTACAATAGCTCTTATCACGCAGCCCTGGGAACCTCAGCTAGAGTCCGGCTAGCTACTCAGGAAGTCATGCCACGGCTGCTTTCCAGAACTGGAGGAAAGTCCAGTATCGGTCCAGGCACCCAGAGAACACCGGCCAGGACGCTGCCTCAGGGCACTGCAGGGGTTCCCTGCCCCACAAACCCTGCTCATGGCGGGGGAGGGAAGCACATGGGAGCCGCGTGTTCTCTGTCTCCATGGGATGCATGTTCTCTCTCTCCGTCGGCTGTGTATTCTCTCTCTCCGTGGGCCGCATGTTCTCTCTCCATGGGATGCATGTTCTCCCTCTCCGTGGGACATGTGCTCTCCCTCCCCATGGGATGCGTGTTCTCTCTCTCCGTGGGATGTGTGTTCTCTCTCTCCGTGGGATGTGTGTTCTCTCTCTCCGTGGGATGCGTGTTCTCTCTCTCCGTGGGATGCGTGTTCTCTCTCTCCATGGGATGTGTGTTCTCTCGCTCCATGGGATGCATGTTCTCTCTCTCCGTGGGATGCATGTTCTCCCTCTCCGTGGGACATGTGCTCTCCCTCCCCATGGGATGCATGTTCTCTCTCTCCGTGGGATGCGTGTTCTCTCTCTCCGTGGGATGCATGTTCTCCCTCCCCATGGGATGCGTGTTCTCTCTCTCCATGGGATGCGTGTTCTCTCTCTCCATGGGATGCGTGTTCTCTCTCCCCATGGGATGCGTGTTCTCTCTCTCCATGGGATGCGTGTTCTCTCTCTCCATGGGATGCGTGTTCTCTCTCTCCATGGGATGCGTGTTCTCTCTCTCCATGGGATGCGTGTTCTCTCTCTCCATGGGATGTGTGTTCTCTCTCTCCGTGGGATGCATGTTCTCCCTCTCGGTGGGACATGTGCTCTCCCTCTCCATGGGATGTATCTCTCCATAGGACGCGTGTTCTCTCTCTCCGTGGGATACATATTCTCCCTCTCCAGTGGACTTGTGCTCTCCCTCTCCTTCAATCTCTAGGTTCTGGGTCTGCGATTTGACTTGAATCTGAGCAAGGGGTTGTGACTGTCCTCAGGGCACTGACCTCTGTGGCCTCTCCTGCATCCTTGATCACATTTTCTGATGTGTGTTAGGCAGAACATTGGTTGCCCCCGGGAGCACCCTGTCCCTGAGCTGATGCCCGGGGGGTTCTGTCTCTGAGGGTTGGGTTCCTTCCATGCCCCCATCCCCCACTCCCTGTTCAATGTGGGAATTCGGGCTGTGACCACCATTAGGCCCTTTCTCTCCTGGACGCTTCCTCCGGGAGGATGCTAGGGAGCCAGCCTTGTCCCCCAGCTGCCCTGGCCCCGCCTGCAGAGGACAGCTGCCCCGGAGCTTGCGGTGATGCTGGGGCCCCTCGAAGAGCACCGCAGGCCACCTTGTAGCCGACCTGCTGAAAAATAAACTCCTGGACGTCCAGCAACAGAGTGGGGCATGAGGGAAGCAGAAAGCGCTGTGGCTGCCGAGGTCAGGGCAGGAGGGAAGGCCAGGACACAGCACTGGATAGGGTGGAAGAGAGGAGTGTGACTGTGTCAGCCGCCACCCACTCAGAAATCCACCCAGTTTGCTGGTTGAAAAACAGAGCTCATTAGATTATATTTAAGCACACATATTGCTTATTCCCTGTCAATGGAGCTGCAAACCTCCGAGGAACCTGGGACAGGCCCTGCCTCCCCCGTCTGGGGCTTGCTGTGCTTGGGAATGGAGGGGCTGAGCTGGGCAGCCCACACCTGTCCCCATCACTGCAGAGACCCAGGGGCTCTGCCCTCCTGCAGCCCAACGGTCTGGTGAGCTGAGGTTCTGGGGTCCCCACCCCAGCAGGGCCTCAGGGGCTTCCCTCTGCTCAGGCGAGAGTCCACTTTGTTCCATTAACCTCCTGGCTTGTGTTTCAGGAGGGACACGGAGCCTGGCCTTGGGGACAGGGGCAGAGCCTCAGAGCACGTGGATGAGGAGGGCCCTAAAGCACCTCCACCAGGGGAGCAGGGGGAGGCCCGAGGCCTGCCCTGCGGCCCCCAGTGTAGCCCCGAAGAGGAACTCCCTGCCATGGGAATGAGGAGCTCGGTAGCTGAAGACCAAGCCCTGTCCCACCCTGTGCAGGGCCCGGCACAGCCTGGAAAGACACGTAAGTGACGCCTGACCCATGCTCTGAGACTGGGGCCATTTCCCTCCCTGATGGCTGCTGACTCTGCAGGGACTGAGCGGTCAGCCCCAACTCCAGGTCACTCACCACCTCACACCGATGCGTCCCAGCCGCCGCCATGCCCTACTCCTTCCAGCACAGGGGTCCTCACCCTGAGGGAGAGGCCCCATCCCTGCCCCACGGAGCTGACCTTAAGGGTCCGTGGCACCCGATCCCACGATGTCTCACACGGCCAACAGGCCAGCCTGCTGTCCTGGAGGAAATGCAAGGCTCAGACACCAGCGAGCCAGGTGGTCAAAGGGGCTCCCGAGGTGGGCGTTGGGCCTGAGGCCGACAGCAGGAGGAGGGTTGGGGTGGAGGAATGGTGGTGACAGCCAAGACTGAAGGGGCTGAGACCTTCAGATGAGCAGGAGCAAGGCTGGGAGGGGCTCATGGAGAGGCCAGAGGAGGCCCCGGCTGGGCCCAGGGGCAGCAGGGACTGTGCACCTGGGAGCCGGCAGGGACCTGCCCGGGGCCTGGTGGGGCTGGAGAAGAGTGGGCGTGATTCCACCCCTTGAGTTTGGGAGGAAACTTTCCAGGGCTAGGCCTGAGGTGAGGGTCTGGGGCAGCCCCAAGACGGCCCCAGTCTCTGCCTGGCTCACTGGGGGTGCTGGGGCTGATCCCAAGATGGGACTTGGAAGGGTGGGGTGGATGGCTGGACCCGAGGGCTGGGAGTTGGGTCTGAGGGACCCAGGGCTGGGACCTCTGTGGCCCCCAGCCCTTCCGTGTTGCCTGGTGTCCGGGGCCCTGTGTACAGGTGGTATAGGATTGAGGTGGGGGTGCCAGCGAGGTGAGGGCTGCCCACAGGGTCCACAGGGCCCACAGGACATGAGCGAGGGCTCTGTCCAACCAGCTCAGCCTGGGTGTCCACCCCTTGCTCTGCAGGCCTCAGGAGCAAAGATGGAGGAGCAGAGGCTGCCAGAGAAGGAGTCCGGCTCCTCGGAGACAGAGAAGCAGAAGTCATGGCCACCAGAGAAAGAGGAGTGGAGGTTGCCAAAGAAGGGGGCCAGCTCCTCAGAGACGGAGGATTGGAGGTTGTGGCCTCCAGAGAAGGAGGAGGGGAGGTCGTGGCTGCCAGAGAAGGGGGCTGGCTCTTCAGAGACGGATCATTGGAGGTTGTGGCCTCCAGAGAAGGAGGAGGGGAGGCCGTGGCTGCCAGAGAAGGGGGCTGGCTCTTCAGAGACAGAGGAGTGGAGGCTGGGACTGACAGAGAAAGAAAAGGGGAGGCTGTGGCCACCAAAGGAGGAGGAGAGACCATGGCAGCCAGAGAAGGAGAAGTGGAGGCCATGGCCACCAGAGAAGGAGGAGCGGAGGCCATGGCAGCCAGAGAAGGAGGAGCGGAGGCCATGGCAGCCAGAGAAGGAGAAGTGGAGGCCATGGCAGCCAGAGAAGGAGGAGCGGAGGCCATGGCCACCAGAGAAGGAGGAGCGGAGGCCGTGGCAGCCAGAGAAAGAGGAGCGGAGGCCATGGCAGCCAGAGAAGGAGGAGCGGAGGCCATGGCCACCAGAGAAGGAGGAGCGGAGGCCGTGGCAGCCAGAGAAGGAGAAGTGGAGGCCATGGCAGCCAGAGAAGGAGGAGCGGAGGCCATGGCCACCAGAGAAGGAGGAGCGGAGGCCATGGCAGCCAGAGAAAGAGGAGCGGAGGCCATGGCAGCCAGAGAAGGAGGAGCGGAGGCCATGGCAGCCAGAGAAGGAGGAGCGGAGGCCATGGCAGCCAGAGAAGGAGGAGCGGAGGCCATGGCCACCAAAGGAGGAGGAGAGACCATGGCAGCCAGAGAAGGAGGAGTGGAGGCCGTGGCAGCCAGAGAAGGAGGAGCGGAGGCCGTGGCCACCAAAGGAGGAGGAGAGACCATGGCAGCTAGAGAAGGAGGAGCAGAGGCTGTGGCCACCAGAGAAAGAGGAGGAGAGGCCGTGGCCACCAAAGAAGGAAGAGGGGAGGCCGTGGCAGCCAGAGAAGGAGGAGCTGAGGCCATGGCAGCCAGAGAAGGAGGAGCGGAGGCCGTGGCCACCAGAGGAGGAGGAGGAGAGACCATGGCCACCAGAGAAGGAGGAGCGAAGGCCGTGGCCACCAGAGAAGGAGGAGCAGAGGCCATGGCCACCAGAGAAAGAGGAGGAGAGGCCGTGGCCACCAGAGAAGGAAGAGGGGAGGCCGTGGCAGCCAGAGAAGGAGGAGTGGAGGCCATGGCCGCCAGAGAAGAAGGAAGAGAGACCATGGCAGCCAGAGAAGGAGGAGGAGAGACCATGGCAGCCAGAGAAGGAGGAGCAGAGGCTGTGGCCACCAGAGAAAGAGGAGGAGAGGTCATGGCCACCAGAGAAGGGAGAGGGGAGGCCGTGGCAGCCAGAGAAGGAGGAGCGGAGGCCGTGGCAGCCAGAGAAGGAGGAGGAGAGACCGTGGCAGCCAGAGAAGGAGGAGGAGAGACTATGGCAGCCAGAGAAGGAGGAGCAGAGGCTGTGGCCATGAGAGAAAGAGGAGGAGAGGTCATGGCCACCAAAGAAGGAAGAGAGGAGGCCGTGGCAGCCAGAGAAGGAGGAGCTGAGGACATGGCCACCAGAGAAGGAGCAGCAGAGACCATGTCAGCCAGAGAAGGAGGAGCGGAGGCCGTGGCAGCCAGAGAAGGAGGAGCAGAGACCATAGTAGCCAGAGAAAGAGAAGCAGAGGCCGTGGCCACCAGAGGAGGAAGAGCAGAGGCCGTGGCCACCAGAGAAAGAGGAGGAGAGGCCATGGCCACCAGAGAAGGGAGAGGGGAGGCCGTGGCAGCCAGAGAAGGAGGAGCGGAGGCCATGGCCACCAGAGAAGGAGGAGCGGAGACCATGGCCACCAGAGAAGGAGGAGGAGAGACCATAGCAGCCAGAGAAGGAGGAGTAAAGGCCGTGGCAGCCAGAGAAAGAGGAGGAGAGTCCGTGGCCACTAGAGAAGGAAGAGGGGAGGCTGTGGCAGCTAGAGAAGGAGGAGTGGAGGCCATAGCCACCAAAGAAGGAGGAGGAGAGGCCATGGCAGCCAGAGAAGGAGGAGTAGAGACCACGGCAGCCAGAGAAGGAGGAGCGGAGGCCATGGCCACCAGAGAAGGAGGAGCGGAGACCATGGCCACCAGAGAAGGAGGAGGAGAGACCATAGCAGCCAGAGAAGGAGGAGTAAAGGCCGTGGCAGCCAGAGAAAGAGGAGGAGAGTCCGTGGCCACCAGAGAAGGAAGAGGGGAGGCCGTGGCAGCTAGAGAAGGAGGAGTGGAGGCCATAGCCACCAAAGAAGGAGGAGGAGAGGCCATGGCAGCCAGAGAAGGAGGAGTAGAGACCACGGCAGCCAGAGAAGGAGGAGCGGAGGCCATGGCCACCAGAGAAAGAGGAGGAGAGGCCGTGGCCACCAGAGAATGGGGCTGGCTCCTCAGAGACAGAGGAGTGGAGGCCATGACTGCCAAAGAAAATGAAGGGGATGCCATGGCCTCCAGAGAGGGAGGAGTGGAGGCCGTGGCCACCAGAGAAGGAGGAGCAGAGGCCATGGCTGCCAGAGAAGAGGAGTGGAGGCCATGGCCACCAGAGAAGGAGGAGAGGAGGCCGTGGCCACCAGAGAAGGAGGAGCAGAGGCCGTGGCCACCAGAGAAGGAAGAGGGGAGGCTGTGGCCACCAGAGAAGGAGGAGTGGAGGCCATGGCCACCAGAGAAGGCTGCCCCTCAGAGATGGAGGAGGGAAGGTGCCAGGCTTCAAGGTGAGTCAGGGCACTGCCTGTGGCCAAGGCCACCACATCTGCAGGTCTGGCCCTGCCCCAGCCAGACGCTTGTGGGTCTTGGCTCAAGAGTGGGTGGAGTGAAAGCCACCCCAGCTCCTGCTCCATGACAAGCCCCCAGGAAGAGACACCCCAAGCAGCCCAGTTGGATGCCCTCTCTGGGGTCCTGAGTCAACTCAGACCTGGGACCTCCACACATCCAGCCTCCTCCACATGGGGTGGCCAGAATCATGCCCTCCCTGCCACCCACAGCCCCTGCACCATCTTGCCCTGTGCACGCTGTGACAGCCTCTGCCCACTTCTGTGCACCCCAGAGCAGAGGCCTGGAGGCTTGAGAGACAGGGAGAGCCTGATGTGGCCACAGGCGAGGCAACAGCAGAAGGGTTGCTGGCCACCGTCCTCAGGCGGGACGTCCACCTGGCCTCTGCCTCCCTCGGAGCAAGACCAGCGGTGGGAAAGCCCCAGGGGAGAGACAGCCCTGGCAGTGCCACACCACACCAGGCTCAGTGCCCAGCCAGCGTCCATGGGGACCTTGGTCCCTGGAAAGAGATGAAGAGTGACCAGATGGCATTCATGCCCTGCCTCAGGAGTCCCCAGTCTAGAGTGCCAGGATGGCATTCACGCCCCTGCCTTGGCAGTCCCCAGTCTAGAGTGCCAGGATGGCATTCATGCCCCTGCCTCGGGAGTCCCCAGTCTGTCCCCTCCCAGAGCCCTCCCCTGGCCCTTCCAGCTGGAGAGCAGGACCCTGAAAACAGAGGGTGTTTGGGGCTTGGATTCCAGTTGGATTCCGAGGGGGAAGCTCCGGGAGGAGCAGGGGGTGGTTGATAGAGATGGACAGGGAGCGGGTCTCCACAGAATCCCACCGGGCCTGCCTGGAGCCGGCCCACCATAGGCTGGGCGCAAGGTGGGGCTTCCCGGGCCAGCAACTGAGGCTCAGCCCAGGGCGCTGAGCAGCCCACACTCAGATAGGGGAGTCTGGGCCAGGTGCTGAGGGGGTCCAGGTCCCCTCAGTCCAGGTCGCACTGCTGGTGACTGCTGTGTGACCTCTCAAAAGTCACTGAACCCCTCACCATGAAATGCAGGAATTATTCCTGCTTAGAAAATGTTTTAGAATATCTTGGATTTCACAGACACCGTTTATTTATACAAAGTACAGAGCTTAGGGCTTCCCTCCTGGTGGAGATTTTCTAAATCTAGCTGTTGTTTCTTTAGGAATAATGGTCCCCCTCTTTCCCCGCAGAATCCTGCCTTGGTGAAGCGGCTGCCACCTACGTCTCCAGCCCGAGCCTGACCTCGCTTCCTGGCCCCCACCACTGGCTCACCCCCAGCCCTAGCCACCTCCCCAGGTCTGTCTCCAGCACCCACTACCCTGCCAGCCTGGACGTTGCCTTCGGGGACCCTTGCAGCCCCCAGGGCGGAAGGCCTCCTATCCTGAAGCTGTCTAGGGCCAGTCCCAGGCCAGACTCCCACCCAGGGAGCTCCAGCCCAGCAGAACTAGAGGCGGAACAAGGGGTGCTTGGTGGGGAGGCTGGCCAGAGCAGGGTGGGGTCCCCAGGGCTCTCCTCTCACGCGCTGTCCACTGTTCACATGAGGATGGAACCTACCTTCACCAAGCAACTGCAGACAGACAGTGGACATGAGGACAGGAAGATCTCTGCAGACCAGGAGAACAGTCAGGACGAGGGCTGGACCATGAGGAAGGACAGGCCAGCCTCAGAAGGCTCTGAACTCCAGGGCACAGGGTGGCCCTGATAACCCTGCCCAGAGACACTCTGGGACGGGGCAGAACCCCGCACCCGGGCAGAGGAGCACTGGCGCTACCATCCAACCCACTCCAGGTTCAGGTGGGCACTCAGGAAGGCGCGGAGCCCCATTTCCTGCATGACTCCACCCGGGTTGACAGTGGAGGGACTTTCCACGTGCTGAAGGCAGACCCCAGGGTCTCAGGTCACTGTCCTGAGCATCACCCCTCATGGGTGCCTTGCTGGTGGCTGCTTCCACCCTACTCTGGCCTCTGGGGTAGCTTCTCCCCCTCAGAGCTGTGACCCCAAAGTGAGCCCAAGAGCTTCCCCTCGGGGGCTGGAACATCTAACTGACCTGGGCCTGCACGGGGGATGGAAACAGGTGGCCTAGCATGGGGTGTCTCCACTGTACAGCTCCTCACCTATAGGAGCCCCGGGAGCAAACTCTGTGCAAGAGTGAACGAAAGAAAGCAAATCTGCTCCTCGCCCTCTCTGGGAAGCAGAGGGTCTTCCCTGTCCCACCCACTCAAGGGATCCGCTGCTAAACGTTCAAAGATGTGGAAGGCCAGTCATTAAACACAGCCACTGTGAACAAATCACAGAAATTTGTACTTAAAGAAATCTTAATAAAATAGGTACTTAATAAAATAGGTACTTAAATACCTATTAAGGTAATAATTACCTAAACTCAAGACTTCCTAATTGTTTTTTACAACTATTTTTGGGGGTCGCTTACGTCTGTTGTCGCTGTATGGCAGAAATGCTGCGGGCAGGCACTGCCCCCTCCCCGCCCCGGTGGCACAGGTGGGGCCCCTGGGCAGCTGGAAACCCACAGGTGCTGCAGACCAGGGCGTGACCTTCTGCCCTGTGGATCGTCTCTCTGTGGATTGTGACTTCAGGAAGGGAGGCAGCTCGTGCCTGAGGTTCCCAGTGAAGCCAGCGACGCCTCTGCTGGGGCAGCTCATGACTGAGGTTCCCAGTGGCCGTCAGATTTTGTCAGGACCTGGGTCACTCGAAACCACAGGTTGGCCGAGGGCACAAGAGTTTGGCAAAAACCAACTGAAGCATCCTAAGAGGGTCGATGGCCACATGGAATTTCGCGTAAGGGCGTTGCACGTATTGTTATTTTCTGTAACTTGTGTGCTACACACTCTTTGTATACAGTCATCCCTCGGATCCACAGGACACTTGTTCCAGGACCCCCTGAGGACACCAAAACCCACAGGTGCTCAGGTTCTTCCTATGAAATGGTGTTGCGTTTGCATATGACCTAAGCACGCCCTCTGCTTTAAATCCCCCGGATTACTTATCATGCCCGATACAATGTAAATGCTCCATACCTGGTCGTTACACTTTGTTGTTTTTTACTTCTATTATTTATCATTATATTGTTAGCTTTTTTTCCTGAATATTTTGTCTCGGAGGCTGGTTGAATCCAAGGACAGGGAACCTAGGGAAATGGAAGGTTGACTGTGGCACAACATGTCAATACAGGAGCCCTCGCTTACCTGCAGGGGAGACACTCGGAGACACACAGTGGGTGCCTGAAACTACAGACAGTACCAAACCCTGTAGACACTAAGAAGCCCCCGCAGGGGACACGCTCCGAGACCCACGGTGGGTGCCTGAACCTGCAGACAGTACCGAACCCTGTAGACACTAAGGAGCCCCCACTTACCTGCAGGGGGCACGTTCCGAGACCCACAGTGGGTGCCTGAAACTGCGGACAGTACCGAACCCTGTAGACACTATGTTTTTTCCTATACACACCTATGATCAATTTTAATTTATAAATTGGATACTGTAGGAGATTGACAACAATAATAAAACAGAACCATTATAATAATAATACAGTGTTCACAGCTTCCCAGATAGAAGTTTCATTCTTTAATCTTTATCTCAGCATAGGATTATTTTCCTCTCCTTATTGAGAGCTTCCACATTTTCACTCGAAGGAAGAACTTACAGCTTCCTCTGACCCCTGCCTGGCCCAGACCCCTGGAGGCCATGACCATGTGCACTTTCTCCAGACCTCGCATCCCTCTTACCGGGAGCATCCCAGAAAGGCCAGGGCTGCGCTGTGCAGATCTCATGATGCCCTTCACTACGGGTTCATTTTGTTTTCCTAAAAATGGAGCCATGGCCAGGTTGTGGGACAGGTTCAGGATCTCTAGTCCAGCACAAATGCTGTGCCTGGGAGCTGTGTCCCCAGGAAGAAAAGGCTGCAGGTCCCATAGGGAGGAGCTCAGAAGGGGCCCCCACCAGCCTAGCCGCCACCCCAAATCCTTACAAGGGCTTATAGTCTTGGCTTTTTGGGGTCCCTGTGAACTGCCCCGCCTTCCCTCTGCCCAGGATGGGAGAGGCTCCTGGCCCCCTGCTGACTGGGCTGTGGCTGTTTTTGAGTGGCTTCACTGGGAAACTCAGTCACGAGCTGCCTCGGCAGAGGTGTCCCTGGCTTTACCGGGAAACTCAAGAGGTTGCACAGCCTCATCCTGACCGCCCCTGGCTGTTCCCGCGGGGTCTTCTCCATCTGAGTCGGCACCTCTTTCAGGCCGTGCTGCTGGTGCTCCCACGGTATGGCCTCCTGGGTGTCCTCTGGGATGGCAGTTTCACAGCTGCCATCCGGAATTCTGGCCGCTCAAGAACTCTGATGTGGGGAAAATCACTCAGTGGAAAGAAGCCTTAGCTCATGAAGCAGAATCACGGCCATGCTCTGCTCTGCTTAGAAAAGCTGGCCTTGGTCCTGCGAGAACAAAGTCCGCTACGGCGAAGCTTCCAGCTCTGTCAATAAAACTCGGTTCTTGAAGAGAGGGTGTGACAGGAGGCCCCGCGCCACCACGGGCAGCAGCTCTGCTCAGGATAGAAGTGGGCGGGACGTCGCGTGCACCCACAGCAGGAGCCTGAGCCTCTGCTCAGAGTACGCTCGCTCGGGACCAGGGGCCGCTGGCTCCAGGAGGAACGACGCACCCCAAAGGCCCCTGTGCTCCTCATGGGCCACCTCTTCAGGGGGTGCTGCTTCTGCCCTGGAAGCCCAGCCATTCTCCCTCCTCCACTCCCGGGCCCGAGCTGTCAGGGACACGTACAGGACTCCAGCTGCCTCTTCCTCTAGCCAAGTGGGAGCCGGGGCTTTGGCCAAAGATTCTTGCCGCGCTTCCATAAACATTACAGCCCATGCAGGGCAGCCGGGAAGAGTGTCCAAGGCAGCCCTTCCTGGGTTGGGACGCACAGAGCTGGGGTCTCAAACCACAGCCAGATGGGCACTGCCTATTTCCATAAACGGAGTCACGGGAACTCAGCCTGGCCTTCGTCCGCGTCATCCTCCAGTGTCTGCGGCTGCCTCCACCCTCCGCCGACAGCGTGGGCACCTCACCGAGGAGGCTGAGGATGTTCACCGACCGGCCCTTTACAGAAGAGGCTGCTGGCCGCCGACACAGACCCCTGGCCTCAGGGCCCAGCAAGCACGAGGGGTGGTTTTGTTTCTGGTGAGTGCCCACCCCACGGGTGTCTGGTGAAAAGATTCCATGGTGCATCCTGCAGCAAAGGATCCAGCTGCACAGCCCCAGTCCAGCTATGGACTTTATACCCAGAAAGTTTCTGAAAAAGCAGATTTTGGACCAGTGTTAAGATCTGCACATCACAGATCTGTGTTCTGTGGCCTGACTTTGTCTGCCATTGGCTGAAGGGGAGGAGTGAAGATGGAGGTGCCACCAGGGAGGGGCAAAGGCTTTGAGAAGGAGCTTTAGGAGGGTCAGCTTCTGGGAGCATCTGCAGACACGGGAGCCCAGAACACGGAGCAGGTCCTGCAGGCTCAGCTTCCAGGGCTGAGGACCCAGGGCTGCGACATCCTCCCCCTAGGAACTATTGTCAGTGGACGAGCAGGCTCCCGTGCGGTGTCTAAGCCCACACAGAGCTGTCCACCATGGCTTAACCAGAATCCGAGATGGACCAAGAGGCGGTGCAGGGCTGAGGAGTCCGCAATGGGAGGAGGGGCTTTGTCCCCGGTGAGGATCCTGCCCAGACAGGCTTTCTGCAGCACAGCTGGGAATCTGCAGAGAAGGAAGAAGGAAGGAAGGGGTCCCCAGCCCCCCAACCTTCCTCACATGACCTGCTCCTGAGGGTGGAGGAGGTAGACGGCACCATCCTCCTTGGTCACCTGCACTGGGGGCAGCTAGGACAGGAGAGCTCACATCCAGATGGGTTCAGACCTCAACACACAGGGACCCGCACGCTCACACCACACACACATGGAGGGACACACATAGATGGAGACACTGGGACCCGCACGCTCACACCACGCACACACGGAGGGACACACACAGAGACACGGGGACCCGCACGCTCACACCACACACACACGGAGGGACACACACAGATGGAGACACTGGGACCCGCACGCTCACACCACACACACATGGAGGGACACACACAGAGACACGGGGACCCGCACGCTCACACCACACACACACGGAGGGACACACACAGATGAAGACAC